CACACACACACACACACACACACACACACAAGAATAGGATTTTTGAAAACAATTTTATTTTTTCAGGTTATTTTTTTTTTATTAAACTTAAGTTAATAACACTAAAGATGGACAATGAAATTATTGCTTTCTTAAGTGTCTTGGACCAATTCCTTATAGGGTCCTTCTACCTGACAATATACAATTAAATTTGTTTGCCATTTCATTTTGGTTTCAATATTTTGAAATATAATTTTTTGTATAATTATGTAAGCTACCTACATGGTCTCAAGATCAAATCTATGAAATTTTAGTGTAACCAAGAAATCCAGTTTCCAGCTTCTGTCCTTGTTCCCTCCACCCTGCTTCTCCCATCCCCCTGTATGTAAATTTTTGTTGGTTTAGTTTTCAGAGTATCATGCTATTGCCTTTTCATATATATGGAAGACATATGTCTTATATTTTACTAGGTGTACCAGTTAATAATGCAGATTTTGTAATCATAGAAAGCATGATAATTTCAAGAGAAACATCTAACGTGCTTTATTCAAAGTAATTTCCATCGCTAGCTACACATTTCTCCCATCTTTCAGGTAATTTGTGGATACCGCCCCAATAGAACTTTTCTTATTTTGAGGCAAACCATTCAGAGACCCAATTTTCCACTTCTTCATACGTTTTGAAGTGCTGCTCAGAAAGTGCGTGTGCCATCGATCAGATCAAGTGGTAATCTGAAGAAGCAAGGTCCGGTGAATACAGCAGGCGGGTTAATACTTCCCAGGCAAGATCTTTTAACGTGTCTTTAACTGGTTTTGAAGTGTGTGATGGTGCGTCATCATGAAGCACAATTACTTTGCCATGTCTTCTGAAACATTCTGGTCATTTCACGACCAAAGCGTGGTTCAATTGATTATTTGTTGTTGGTAGTGATCAATATTAACAGTTTCACCTGGCTTTAGAAGCTCATAATACAGCACACCTTCCTGATCCCACCAAACTCTGTGCATTGTCTTCTTTCCGAAGTGATTTGGCCTTGCAGTCCATGTTGATGGTTGACCTGGATCAACCCATGATTTTGTGGGTTTGGGATTCTCAAAATAAATCCACTTTTCATCGCCAGTCACAATTCGATGCAAAAAAGTCTTTCTTTTGTGCTGTTGAAACATTTTACTGATGACTTTCGGTTTCCCATTTGTCTTTCGTTCAGTTGATGTGGCATACATTTTCCTTCCTTTAAAATCTTTCCTATTGCTTGTAAATGATCAGAGATTGTTTCCTGAGCAAAGTTTAATCTTTCTGTAAGTTGTTTTTGAGCTTGACACGCATCTCCATCCAATAATGCTTGTAATTGGTGGTCTTCAAACTTTTTCGGTTGACCTGGATGTTCTTTGTCTTTCACATCAAAATCATCACTTTTAAAGCATTTAAACCAGCATTCACAAGTATCTTGAGATGGAGCATGTTCACCCTAAGCTTCCCAAAGTATACGATAACTTTTTCTTCAAAATAATGAATTAAAACTTCCTGCAAATGTTCTTTCTTTGGCACAAAACTCGACATTTTTAAGTGTAGAAATATCTATAATGTTAACACCTTCAGAAAATTTGACATATGAAGTTTTGAAACTTGTTGTCAATACAACAAAATAGCATACATATCAAATCGCATATATATCAACATATGTGTAACTCCATCTATTGAAAAAAATCTGCATTGTTAACCACTACACTTAGTATATATGTAGTTCATATTCCTCCTTATTATAAAAATGGTAGGTCAACTCTACATTATTTTCTTCACTTTTTTCCCACTTAATGATGTGTCCTGGAGACCTCTCCATGCTTGTATAGAGAGACCATTCCTTTTCACAGTTGGACAGTCCTTCACTGTGTGAATATATCTTAGGTAATTAAACCAGTCCTTACTGATGGCCATTTGAAAGGTTTTTGTTCTTTGCTAGCACAAATAATGGCGCAATAAATAGCATTCTGTGTCATTTTTCTGCATTGTTGTCAGTGTACTTAAGGGATAAATATTAAAATGGAGGATTGACAATGAATGAGAAAATGCATATGTACTTTTGCAGGACAGTGATGAATTCCCTTCTGTAGGGTTTAGACTGTTTTTTCATTCTCACCAACCATGCAGGAGAGGACCTGCTTCTCTCATACCTTTACCAACAGATTATGCTGGCAAACCTTCAGACTTTTGCCAAACCTGGGGGTGTGAAATAGTATCTCACCTCCGAAATTGAGGTGTGATTTAATTAATATTTTTAGTAATCTTATTTTTTGTGTTTTGATTTATTTTTCTGTGAGTGTATGTTAATGTCTTCTGATATATTCAAGGTCCATTTAAATTCATTCTTCTCTGAATATTTATTCCCATATCTTGCTCCATTTTCTATCAAGTTTCTGGTATTTGGTTTCTGTA